AATTTTAGCATTGATGAATGATCACAAATCTTTATTTGCTTTTTAAAAAAAGAGATCCCTGTAGGTTGTTATCAAAGATTCAGGGCAGAAAACAATGTAATCAATGGAAATAAAATAACTTGACTGCCCATTGCATTCTCTCCAGAGGCAGCTTGTTCAAAGTTCCTGTGCAAGAAACATTCCACCAAATTTAGTCCTCAGACTTCATAGTTGAATCCCTGTAACTTCATTACAAGTCACTAAAATTGAGTAAAACTTTCCTTTTTTTCTAATTTATGCCTTCCAAATGTACTGGGGGCATTAATAACACAACGCAACACAACGTTTGTTTTACAGTCACATATATTACTTTCATGGTAACTTGTATTTGTGATCACAATATTAATATGAATTATAGATACAGTATACATTTTATTTTGGGTATTTGTATCCATACACTTCACCATATTAGATGAAAAACATGCTTTATGTTCAACCAATAATAATCAAGAGACACATGCACACTAAGAAAATTTTAGTTGTGTTGTCCCTTTGAGGCACTTACTACATAAAGCCGGCAGCCCATTGAGATTAGCAAGTTATTTTTGGAAGCTTTTGAAATGCTTTATGAAATGCTTTATGAAAGCCATTTGAAGATCTTGCCTATTCTTGGGGTGTTATGACTCCAATGTTTCTTTAACATGTACAGTAATAACATCTATGTTTGATTTGGATATGAACCTATGGACTTCAGGATCTAGATCAGTTCCAAAAGCTTTTCCAATTTTGTTCTCCTAAAAATGTAACATAAAAGGATAATATATTTCTGGAAAAGCAAATTCATTCTGCTGCAGCCATCATTAGTTACATCAGCACTAAGGACATGCAAGCCAGTTCCAGAGGCAGCTATGCATGGCCAGGCCACAACATCTGTGAAGCCATGCTTCACAGTTCAGGTGGTATTCTTTGGAGCATCCACAGTGTCTTTCTTTCTCCCCAATTTAAGCTTCCCATCAGTTTGACAAATGTTTATTTTGGCTGTATCTGTCTCTAAATTGTTGTTTTAAAATGCCCCTGTCTCATCTGTGTAATCCTGAGTAAAATCGAGCTAAATTCTAAAACATAGTGAAATCAATGCTTGCCCATGCATGGCCATCTCTGGAACTAGCCCACATATCTACCAGCTAAAAAGTTCATTATATGGCACTTCCTGCAATTTTGTAAATTGAAGGTTTGTAAATCAAGGTTACGGGGAGTCTCTTTATAGCTACAATATACTAGTTGACTTCCGAAAAGACTGACATATTTTTATCATAAGTAATGTAAGGATTTTAATTCTTAAAATAAATCCTGGGAAAAATTTTATTTTTTAATATATTTTACTATTATCCCTTAGGCTACACATCTGATTCAATCTCTCATCTCATTATACAGCTGATACCTTTTTACTGATGCCAGACAAAATTTTTATTGACAAAATGTTTTATTAATAAAAGAAAAAAAAACAGAATGAGGTTATTTAACTTGACATATGATTACTGTAACCCTAGCAATACGTATTGTTTTCAATTTTCCTACTCAGTGAAAAACATTCACAGAGGACTAAGATGTATTTAGATCTAAATATCACATCATTTTTTAAATTACATTTTAAAGTATAAGATCTAGGGTGTCATGGTGTCATCGATATAAGATCTAAATTTAGCAGATAACAGATAACAGAGTTTGTAACACAAAGACAAACTTTAAAATGAGTGAATTTCAAATATTCAGTTCAGTAGCATGGTGGCACTTCAGGGAAATAGCTTGGATTATCAGAAGCAGAAGACAGATGAATAATCTACACACTTGAAGCTTTCCGACTCTTTTTAATGAGACAGTTTGGAAAGAAAACGCAAAGCCCTCAATAGTTTCAAATGGCTTATTAACATTCTTTGAGAAAGGACTTAAAAGCAGCCTGTGAAGCTGTACAACTTAGTAAGATCTATAATCTTTAAACAATATCTGTTAGAGTTAACATTTTGACTTCCACTTCATTTTCTAGCTCTCTATGGTGGAATTATTTAGACAGATCCCTCAATGGAATTTATATTGTTACAGACCTGTACCATGAGTTGAATTCCTAAATCTTGACCAAAAAACATTTAGAAAAATTATGACATAAGGGTTACTTTAATCTTGCACAGTTCTGAGGTACTGGTTTTGCTAATCCTTGAATATGTTTCTTGCCTTTTTCATCTTTTTGAGTTGCCATGTGATGTGGGCAAAGTAGGAGCATCTAATTTAGTTAGGTGGTTGCTCTGACCTTGATACAGATCATAATGATTGTGATGCATTATATACTGTATTTTCTCTCTTCATTTTATAGTACACAAAAGTAGTGCAGATGTAAACAACATACAAATTGTTTAAGTGGGGTAGGACTGATTGTATCATTGAGGAAGTAAGAAGAGCTAGGAAATGTGGAGAAACTGAGGTGGGAATTTTATCATTTAAAAGAGTGCCTTGTGGGTGCTCTAAAATGGGTATAACTGAAGGATGGAAGGATTTCTTGTTGAGGAAATGAAAAAGTTTAAAAGACTTGAACTACAAGACTTAAACTAAGAAATTAAAAGAAAACTACATATACGTTCCTGGGTGACCCAAAAGGTCTACCTTACTACTTATTTTCCATATACTTCTAAAACTTATATGTTACGTACCAATTAAATTGATACACCAATTAAGGTGTGCCCAGTGTTGCTAACAATAAGCCTCACGGGCACAACGTTTACAGGGTATCTCAAATAGCTATTCCTATTTAAATGTGTGGACCTGTACCTTAATTAAAAAAAATTGCAACAGACCTATAAACACAACAAATACAATTTGTCTCCAGTTTTCCAGATCTTTCCTAATTTTGTCTGCTGTGTTACTTGATCCCATTTGCTTATGCTGGCATGCTGGAGGTGCACAGCAAATACTTAGCACATTGAAATGCAGGCAAAATAATGCCAGCATAGATGGGATTACTGCTGACCTGAAGTTAACACACCCACCCATATGACAATAAATATGTTATTTATTGCACAGTGGCTACACACAGGACAAACAATCAGCCTACAGTACATAGAGTATAAATGGATGATCAAAGTTGGGAGCAAAAAGTACCAGAGTAGTAACTAGCAGTAATTTCTAAACACTAGTTTGCAGTCTGCATCCAAGTGAAATGGTTTCTTTGGACTTATGAAGTTTGTGAGTGGGGCAGCAATCTAGTCAAAGTTACTACAAAATGACCTGTAATAGTCAGCCATTCCTAAAAATCTGTGCAGTTCATGCCACAAAGGAAACTCAGGAAAATTTGACTTCTACTTTGACCATTAGAGGAAGTACTTTGCCTTGATCAACCACTTAACCTAGATAAGTCACTGAAGCACGCACAAAGTTACTCTTGGACAAATTGTTAAATCAGCAGCTGACAAATGGCCAAATAGTTCATAAATATGCTTCAAATGGTCTAGCCAAGTGGAACTAAACACCACAACATCATTAAGATAAGCCTCACAAGTTTTCAATTTGTCTTTGTAGGACAAAGTGCATCAAACATTGAAATGTTCCAGGAGCACTTCTCATGTTAAAAGGGCATTACTAAATATTCAAACAAACTGTGAGGTGTGATAAAGGCAGAAATTTCTTAAGCATGCCCTGATCAGTTAACAGAACTTGCAATACCCTTTCAGCAGATCAAATTTGCGGACCTGTTTAGCAGAACCAATACAATTCACACAATCATTGACTCTCAGTATGGGATATGGGTCAGGCATGGACAAGGCATTAAACTTTTTATTGTCTGTGCAGAAACTAAATGAGCCATAAGATGTAGGAAATAAGTTGCAAGAAGAGCTCCAAGGACTAAACCTGGGCTGTGTGATACCATAAGTAAACATATACTCGCTATGGATACAGGATATAGCAACACTTTTCCCCCAGCCAAAACATTCCCCAGGATGAATGAGACTCCCTTTATAGACAAGCTACTGTACTGTAGGTCTCACTCAACCACTACAGCCATAGGACCTGACTTCAATTCAGATTTGAGTTTCACAGTATGCGAGACGTACAGTACCTATGCCCATCTCGATTCCCTGAATAAGAACACTGGATCCAACAGAAGTGTAATGTGACAGGGGCAAAACTCCCCCTAAAATAAAGGACTGAGCAGTGTCAGCATCTAAAATGTTGTTACTGGCAGTAGTCTCTCTAGAAATAGAAGGAACTGAGGAGGTTTCATCAAAAGGAAGCAGTTTCCTGGGCAAACCCTTCTGTTGAGAAGACACATTAGTGAGCTTGTCAGTAAAGATGTTCTATGCATCAGCACAAATTAATTTGCAAGTATAGTCGCCTGTTCAAGAGTAAGCACTACATGTTCAGGGAGAAAGCCGTATGAGAACAATATTATAGAACATTCTTTAGCCAATTGTATTCATAAGTCTGTTTTGCTTCCAAACATGTGACACACAGTGGCCCTCAAACAGAAGGAAATATATCTATATAAACACATCTATCCACATTCAAAATTACTGACCTCTAATAGATTATATTAAGAAAAAGGCAGTGTTTATGCAATAATAAGGTCATTCTCCATCTGCTGTTAACAAGAAAAGGTTTGATACTATTTTAATACACACCATCACAAGTAGGTAAAGGATGACTCCACCAGTGATTTTTTTCACACACAAGAGGTTCCTCATGGCTGAGTCTGTAACCTGGATCACAACCAAAGGAAACAGTAGATCCTATGGAGAAGTCTTGTCCATATCGAAGTCCATTGACTGGGATTCCCGGATCCATGCATGAGTATGTATCAACTGTCACACCTATTCAGAGGAAGAGTAGTTCATGGTGAAAAACAGTAATGATTAATTGTGAATTATATGAACAATAAATATTCTATGAAAGCACAGCCCTCTCAGGGCCAGATTCCCCAAAAGCTTCTGGGGAATGAACTGCAGCTCTCAGTCACCAGACTGGATGCTGGAGACTTTCCTGTTTAAAAAGCAGAGGCTTTCTGTAACAGTCAGTGGATTAATTCAGCCCATTTGCTTGGAATTCCCATACTGTGAATAAAAAGCACTGGTGTATTTAACAACTGTGTGTACATGTGTTTCTGTTGTCCTGAGCCTACCTACTGTACTTAAAGATCCCATTACAGCATGCCCAAGAGTCTGTCACAATGCATAGATAAACACCTAAGCTATTTTATCCAAATACACATTAAAATATGAATATACATTTGGTCATATATATAATTTAACAATGTGTGTTCTTAAAAGAAAAGACACATAATTTTTGCATATGATAACAGAAACATAAACAGTAAATGGTATACAACATATACAGTGTACAAAAGCAAGATATGCCAGTACCACTTACTATAAATTGATTAATGAACAGTATATTTGCTTGTGACACAGTGAATTCATATATTGTATACACCTTAATAATCCCCTGAAATCAAATCTTTGTCACCAATACGGAATGCAGTTAACAGCAGAGACAACAATTTACTTCATAAAGAATCAAGAAGATTGAAACTCCAAAAGTTTGAAAAACCATATAAATCATTTTGTTACATACCAAAAATTACTTACTTTCATAGAAGATTTTGAACCCACTATTAGAACGACTGTTATCAGTGGTAAAGAGAAGATAGAGATGATTGCTACTGCTAAACAAAAACTGGGGGACTTGGGTTCCATTGTAAGAGCCAATAAGAGGTGAAAGGAGATTAGGTCCATCGTGAATTTCTAAAAAGTCATAATTGAGCTCAGTCTGAAATCTGAGTGGAGATAAAAAACAATGAAAGTTGACAGAATAAATCTGTTAAAAGCTAGGCAAAATGTGAGAAAGCAGATTAAAATAAAGATAGGTTCATACAAAACACATAAAATAGATGTAGAAAATGTACATATTATCTTCTTATTACAAAACCAACAAAATAAACGTGAAATGTCTCTAAAGCACAAAGTGTATTTTTGAAGCACATCTTCCAATAGATAGTAATCTGTTGATTGCTACAAGAAACTTGAAGCTTGTTTTCACCATTAAAAAAACAATGTAGTAAACTGATGTTTTTAGAAGGTGTTAATGTGAATATAAAATGTTATCCATGTTTCATTTATTATTATTTCAATTGTTAAGAGCTACAAAAAAACAATGCTTATTAATCATAATAAATGATGCAAAGTAATGTTTAGCATAGTCTGTAGTAGCAGTAGTCATTCTATATAAGAGCAATATCAAATCACATGTATTAAGTAGTGAAAAACTGAGACCTGTCAAACATGATTTTGATGGAATGTCCACTTTCAGCTTCAATCACCCACTCGCAGTTCAAAGAGTCTTTGTAATATCCAGGCCAGCCTGGTGAAAGGATTACGCCACTGGGGGCAGAGATGTGACCACCACAGGGTGCTGCAAAAGGAAGAGAACCACACTTATTCTTTTTACATAAGAACAATCCCCTAGTGGAACTGCCAGTAAACCATATAGGGAAAACATGTGCTTTTTTGTATTGATTGTCATATAAGGCACATCCAAAATTGCAGAGCGAGCACCAGCCTTTACTGTACATAAATGACAGATCTTTTCTTTGAATAGGGCTTTTAAAGGAATCCATTATCATTCCCCTGTGGAAATGCAGTAGCAGATTACATCCCTCCTGTAAACTTGTTTATGTTTTCCAGAGAGTCTGAATGTATGAGGCTTGTGTTTTTACACAGGCTTTGGGTCTTTTCAGAGACAAATTTAAAATCATATTGGCAGAGTAATGAAACTGATTTATCATAACCCAGATGTAATATTTGTCACTTACAGTGGAAGAATATACTTAAATACATGATGCCATACTGATTTAAACAAGTCAGGCTTCAGCACCTAAATATATGTACTAATGTCTTGTACAGTGCTAACATTTAAGGATTTGATAATAGTGAGCTCTTTTTAATTTTTTTTTTACAAAACACCCAATCACATAAATCATCTATATGTCATTCACATTGTCAGAGAATTGCAAATGTGCTTATCCTACCCACGGTCATAAATGTTCATGGGTGTTCATTTCATTTTAAGTGTCAATTATTAGGCATGTATTAACCATATATTTTCCCATAGATAGTATCAAACAAATAATAATCTTGTTCTTTACCTATTAGGCATATGTAACAAACTTTAAACATGATTTCCCAAACCATTTAAAAAAAGGCAAAAAAATCTTTTTGAGCTATACGTATTTGGCCACATATCTCTCATTTATTTTTTACATTTACTGTAGGAATTTGTTTAATGCTGAACTAACAAAATGTAATAAAGTGGCTATCCAGCATTTGTTAAGCACTAGTAAAAAATAAATACCAAAGACAGGCCTTAATAATACAGCCTTAAAATGAGGAGTCATCACATTCATTTTATAAGTTCTTTGTATTTCATCCACTATGTGAAAAAGAGTATTAATAATGACATAAAATCAGATAACTGTGATTAAAAAAAAGCATACATGACTGACACTCTGGTAAATCTAAAGAGACTAAAAGCCTGCAGTCTGTTAAATCAAACCTATTTAAACTCCTCAAGTTCATAAACTGGTATATGTCTGTGTTGCTTAAGATCATCATTTTCATGAAATTCTCATTTCAGGAATGAAAGATAATTACCTTCACATTTTGGAATGGGTCCACTCCACATTACCTTTCCATTATCTAATTCACAAGTGATCGTTTCTGTTCCTTGGGTTTTGATAAATCCTTCTTCACAAATCACAGAAATTGAGCTACCTAACTGAAAATTGTCACCAAAGCGACGGGCATTTATAGGAATTCCTGGATCTGGACATTCATTGTGACCAAAAGCTAGGAACAAAAGAATAGAAACAGCAATTAAAATGGCACAAAAGAATTTTAAAAAAAAGATATTCACAAGTAATCTAGTGACTTATTAAATTAATATATAATCATTAAACTCATTTGTAATCTTTTGAAAGAAAGACACTGTATTACAAGACAGAAAGTTTACTTTTATACATGGCAAAATGGCATATTAAATAAGCAGAAGAATTTTGCCACTCAATTCATATATAAAATGCAAAAGGACTCAAGCATGGCCTGATCTGAGAACAATTTTGAAAATTATAATTTTTTATAGTGATTTTCTTTTCCATATTGTATATATATATAGAAATAACTTCTCACAGGCTGCCAGATTTTTTAATGTTACACACTTTTAAATGTATTTTAGATTTTGTGCAGGGGATGAAAACAGCCTTTAGTCAGTAACAATAACAGTACACTGTGTAAAGCTTCAAAATGAAAACAAGCAGTGATATGGTAATAGATTGCCATATAATTGCAGTAAAATTGATACAATGTTGCCTACAGACATGTGTAAGACACATGTGGATTCCCAGCATGTGGATTGATGTCAACACTATCATGTTGGTACCACAAAAAATACTGTTTTGAGTGTTTTTGTCATCATAATACAGAAGCAATCTGTCCAATCCATGGAAAATGGAAGAGCAACAACATACTTTATATATTTTATTTAAGGTATAATGAACCAACTTCATGTGCACTTTATTAAGGCTCCAATACAAAACTGAATGTCACCGAAATTACAATTAATTCAAAGCATATACAGCAAATCAAGCATGGTGGGTGGTGATGGGCCAAAAGTTATGTATAATCATAGCAATGCTTCCATCAGTGTATGACCAACCTGTTACGTTGTGCACTGAACGCTTGTAGAAGCTACGGTGAACTTGGCTGGCACCTTCGTTTTAATGATTGTATCCGGCGCTGCAGAATTTGTACAAGTTTTGACTGGGGCTGCACGAGGACCAGTTTTGTGGGATTTAGAGATCAAAGCAATGATGGCTCCATTATGAATAGTTACACGTGCAATCACTTCCACTGCTTAAAGCTGTAAGTCAGCACGTAGCGATATACTGTAAGTACTGTAACGGACACAGCTGACATTACAGGTTGTGCGAACCGGTTGCGAATAGCAGGTACCTCAGCCGCCGTGTTAATTTGCAGCCTAAGCATACTGACGTACAGTAGCTACCTACTTGATATAGGTATTACTATTATACGACAAGTGTGCTATCGTGGTAGCACATAAAGTACACAAGAATTACTATAAATATTCTACTATAAATATATTACTATAAATTACGAGATAATTTTCTCTGAATTATGAGATACTTTTCTTGTAATTAAGAGATGAGGGTGAGGATTTTGTTTTTCCTTGGTGGCAGCAATGTGCTTCCGTACTGTTATATGATGAAGATGAGCATCTTTAGTAAACATGAAACAAATAATTATACTGAATTTTTGTACTTCAGTCTGTTTAAATACATTTCTAATATGTAATATTACATATTATGCAGATTCTAGATGGTTGCATCTGTATAGCAAAAAACTATTGCTGTGTAGTTTAAAAGATATGTATACAGGATGTACACATTTCTATGGAGTTGCAGACAAGCATTTAATTTAGGTTCATATGAGAAACGTATTTACTTTAATCTTATTATTATATAACTTTATTAATATATACTATATATATACTATAGTATAGCATAGTACAGAGTTCTCAATAACATGTTTTTTTCAGGCAGGATTGAAGCTCATACAGATGTTGTTAAATGTTATTTTAGTAATGGTTCAACACAAGTTATGTAATAAGCACTATCATTTCAGTTTTATGCTTTCCTATTAAACAGACATGATTAATATGCAATGAATATCTAACCCATCTTTCTACATTGTAGATAATCAGTTCCACACTCTGTGGTGGAATGCTTAATACACTATAAATGCATTATTGGGTTTTTTATTGAAAGTTATAAAATAGTTACAAATGGTCCTTTGTGTCCATTAACATTGGTGACTAGAGTTTTAAAAATGCCTCCTTTGAGTTCCATATCCTTATTTTTATTAGATTTTCAATAGCAAATGATGTATTAAATTTTGATTTATATGAAGAAAACTATATTAATGGGGATAGAAAGCTCAATAAGTACATGCAATTTAAAGGTAAAAAAATAGAACTGTGACTATTTTGTACAAATTATTGAACTGCTAAAATGTTCAGGGGGTTTCTTTTTTCAGATTCCTAGTAACTCCTAGGAAATCAATCTCCTGCCAAAATCTAAATCAATTCTGTTTCATCATAGTGTCAAACTTTTATTTGTGTTTTTAAGGTATGTTACAAAAGAATCTAACAAATCAACAACTGAGCTTATTCTGGCAACTCATTTTTTTATTTGATTTTTTTTCTAATTGTTGATCTGTCCTTTATGAATTCACTCTATCTAAAACCCTTATTTTTTCTTCCTCCAGAAGTACCAGCTATGAGTGTCAGATCTGTATATGAGTAAAATAAGATATTTGCTGTCTGGAAAAAGTATAGTTAGCAGATGTGTATAAACAATATGCATAAAAAAACATTTTCCATATATAATATGACATTTCCATAACCATTGGTCTTCTTACTGCTTCATCTAAGCCAGCACTGTGGGGAAGGTGAAGCCTATCCCAGCAAGCAATGGGCGCAAGGTGGGATATACCCTGGAGGGTACCTGCAGGTCACAAACAGACACAAACGCAGACATGCACATACCACAGCCAATTTTCCCAGAAGCCAAAAAACCAACTGGCTTCTCCTCGGACTATGGGAGGAAACCAGAACACAGGGTGAAAAGCTATGCAAACTTGGGGTGTACATGCAAGACACAGTCACAAACAACACCACAGGTCCAGAATTGAACCCAGGTCCACAGAGAGAAAAGCAGCAATGCCAACAAATGCCGCTCCTTGAAATTTCAATATTTCTGATGGAGTTTTTCTGAGAAAAGTACACTTACTGCTATAGGTGATATTAAAGCCTCTGCCAGACATCGAGTGATCAGCTTGAAACTCTAAACGCAAGATATGGGTATTACTTGTGAGGTGGGAGGGGACCTCTGCTCCCGTAAATCTCCCCAAAACTGATGAGTCAGGTAGTTCTCCATCTTTCACAGTGAGAAAGTCATATGGTGCCTCCAAGTCAAAGTCATTAAAAGCAAGGTGAATTCTGCTCCCTGGTTCTGAGATGATAAGCCAAACACAATTCATGTTGTTCCCATAGCCCTCTGGGTAATCCGGAGAAAGGACAGTTCCCATGGGGGCAGTGAAATTAGATAAACAAGGAACTGCAAGACAAAGTGAACAAAGGGAAAAAAATAAGTGTTCCTAAAAACACAATCCTGACTTTAAGCTTCAGCACTGCTGTGGAAAAAAAAAAGTTAAAATGATTCTAGGTGCCCTGCATTGCATAAGTGTTATGCAACGAACATATGTGGAAAATATTGTCGTTACATTAAATCACCTTTTTCCTTCAAAAACAACATACAGTATGCAACTTGAAAAACAGTACTACATCATTCAGTGTAATATGTAAACTTACTGAAATATCCACCAAAGAAGCAGTGTAACTAAAGACTGAAAAAGTTTATTGAAGGGGCATATATATATACCATATATTGGCATAACAAACAAGCATTATTGAAATTGAAATCCATTGATATGACTAATCTTAATATAAAAAAGCATTGCTTAGTTTTATGACACTCATCAATGAATGCAGCTGGGATCTGAACCTTCAAATTGCCAGATATACTGTTGGTCCAGAAGTCTTACTACTATTCCACAGTACTGTCTCTAGAATAATCTTTGTTGTGTTGACTATGATGAAGGAATGGTATCTTGGATGTCTCCTTTGGAACACTCTGGAGAAGTAACAAAACTTTCAAAACAAGTTTCTTATATTTGCTTATTTATTATTTTTTGAATTCTTTTGCCAATTCATTCATTTCAAAGCACATTACCTTAAGATTCGACATGCTCTTATGCTGAGCCGTTGCTCACCCAAGAGGCTGACATTGATGCATGATAGAATATACTGTATCTATACCCAATGGCATTGTTAAAATTTTTCACATGGCCAGTTGGTCAATCGGGTGTGTCTTTCTCTTCGCTTTAGTCCCCTCTGCCTTCTGCACCATGTTTCTTCACATGAAATGCTATAACACATGCCTCATGTAAAAGATGTGGTTATATATTGAAAGTATATATACAGTATATACTGTATATACACTTTGAAATATCATCTTTGTTTTCCCCATGTCACGCAATATTTTGGGAGCTTGCGAGAGTTCGTGAATCAGCTATAAGCGTCCATCTTCAGCGAGGGTGTTAATCACAAATAAATAAATATAATATTAATAATATTTTGTTAACGGAATTATACTCTCCAGCAGATTACATATGACGGGTGTAAGAATGTTATAACAGATTATACATTAAGTCAAAAACATAGTTATAATTTAAAAGCATCTCACAATATGAGTGCCATAAAAGCTTCATGGTTCTCCTTAGCCAGTCTCTAAAATTAAATTCAGTCTGCATTTAGAGATTCATTTACTCTGGCTATTATTAAGGTTACTTATTTAGGGCTTCTGGCTGATTACCTTTCTAATGTATAAGTTACTTATTCCAGAAACTCTTTATCAATCATTTTATAAGAAAACTACTCATACTCACATATGCAGATAGGTATATTTGCAGACCACTGGTTATTGTTTTGACAGGTAATGGTTCTTTCCCCAATGAGTTCAAACCCAAACTGACATTCAAATCGCAGCACATCACCATTTGAAAATCCACTGCCTTCTCGTATGCCATACAACGGTGTACCTGGATCACCGCAGCTTTCTTTATCAATTTCTGGAAGAAGGAAAAAAATCCTCAAACAGTAAATCTTGTCATCGAAACTGAGGCAATGTTTACAAACAGACTGACAATTAATGTTAATAAAGTACTGTATGACAACAAAAGCATGATTTCAATACAACTTAAAGAACAAAGCAAGTGAAGGCAGCAAAAAAAAATCAGTACCCCTAATTTCCCAAAATGGGGCTCCATGGTAAATATTCTAGCTAAAATGGTAAATAGATCTGATTGATAAAACAAAAATTACATCTAAATCACATTTAGAAGGAATGTACTTTTTTTATTATATCAGGAAAATAACAAAATAAATATTTGACTTATACATCACCTTTTAAGTAATCATTACCAATAGTTTTGCAAAATGTGAAAGGCATTTAAAATACAATAAAATGAAAGCAAATCCCAAAACAAAAAAAAAGTTCATACAAAAGAGCTAAAAGAACTGAAACCTATGTTGTCGCGAGCACAGAAAAGTATGATGGGACCTGATCATGACGAGCTCCTCAGATCAAATAGCTGTTAGTCTCCAAGCAAGCTAGATGGATTAAATGCTATTGTTTGTAACATGTTGAATAACTTTAAATCGGCAATTCTTTTTCTTCTTATTATTATTATAAGACCTTCTTATTTACTTTTGTGACCTGACTCTTCCCATTTTAACAAGGGCTCAAGGTCCCATAAAAGCAAAACAATCACAAAATAAAGTACACTGTGCTACTATACTAGTAGGCTTTCATGTGTATTTCAGAGTAGGCTTGCATGTGTTTTCTTAACATGAGCTTCATGTGTTCTATCATAATACTGATGAACATGTCCAGAGTGTTCAATTTGCATTTAATGTGACCATTAGACATAGTTTCAATTGTCATTCAGGTGTAGTATGGCATCTTTGAGCCACAATTTTTGTGTTTTTCTGAGCAAGAGGCTTTCTCATCGTGAATGCTACAATAATGGAAACTGCAGTGTAAAGGTGTTAAGTCAGGTTTAACATTTTTTTGATAACCATCCCTCAACACGTTGTGGCCAAAGACCACTTGCCTACACTCTTTGGAAAGCTCTCTGAACTTCATCATGATGATGCTTGCTACTAGTGAAAGTCTTCTTATTGCTCCCTCTTTTATAACTTCAGAGGAACCATACAGAGGCCTGCAGGTATGTATAGTTCTGAAGGCTTTGATTACACCTCCAATGAAAAGATTTCTGATTGTGATATATTCATTTTGGTTGTGTTTAATATACAGTATTTTATCTAAATGAATACTCAAAGGTGTGAACACCTTTTTTGTTTGTTTTTGTTGTTTTCTGGAATTCAGCTTATTATAAATTTGCATGGTACAGTGCTATTACGTACAATTACAGTATTACATTTTATACCTGTTTTAAGCGATCTGTAAATCTTTTCTATGATTTACATACTATCTTTTTGTTTCTATTTCATGGGGAGGGGGGGGGATACAGTCTTAAATACAGTACAGCATATAACCACTATGACACAGATTTCAGAAATTAAAGCTTTCATTTCAGAATATCCCCAGTGGGAAATAACAGCTACAACTACAGACACATGGTGGATATTTCCAAGACATCAGGAGATCAAGCCCTGACCCTGCCAAGCTCAAAGTCCTGGCTTGAAACCTGGTGTGTGCAAAACTGGCTCCTACAATACAAGATAAGTCTGGAAACAAATGTGCTGATATTCTGTATTATAACATCTTCTATGTAGGTCTGGTACAGTATACACAGGACTGAAACTGAAATTTAACTGATCACTTTAAAAACGAATTAAGGCATAATGTTAAGATCAGAACTAATTCTTGCTAATAATTTTGGTGCAATCTCAGCAACTGAACCACTGAATTCTCAAAATTAAAACACTGTTGTATGCTTGCCATAATTTGTGAAAAGTAGCACATTTAACCTATTACAGTAATATTTAAATAAGGAAATATGTAAATATTATAAACTGCTGAACATATGCACATCACAGCTAAGGTCAAAGCAATGCAAATGTACTGTATTTTGATCATTCACCTTTTAAAATAATTAAAGTTTTACAGCCATGGAGCATCCTTTTCTTATTTTATTGCTTTTGTTTTGAAGGACAGGCAACACTTTCAATGATAATAATCACTAGTAAATGAGACCACAAGGCAAGTAACTATGAATTTCCTTCATTGTAGCAAAAATGGCTCTATTATAACTATGGTATTTTACATAATTATGATTACTCATGTTAAACATACAAATTCTGAGAGTACTGTATGTTTAGCTAATTTGGGATCTTCTGAAAACACAATGACTGCTAATTATACGTTTAAGGTAGGTATTAAATCGTAAAATAAATGGCCAAAATACAAAACACCACAAATAAATAATATCATGTACCAAGTAGAATTAATAGTAACAATTTATGCCAGACATTTAAATAAACTCTGGACCACAGATTAAATGAGTTTGACACCTCTGCTTTAACTCATTGCTTTTTTGTTCTGCTGCTGCATCTAGTTACTCCATTCATAAGTAGTGTTTGGATCATTGTTATATTAAAGGTTCTGGTTTCACATGTCAAATCTGAATGTTAATATAGTTATTAACGTAGAACTTTTTGTAGGAATTGCACCGACTTTTTATTGAACAGTATAAAAATTAATTGTGCTGATTAACTTTAGTCATAAACATGGTTAATCCAGGGGACTACTGTGAAACTCAAAAGTTAATAGCTTGTGTCAGCCCCATAGGAAACAATACAAGCTATATTCATGCTTTGCAAATACTGTTTAGTGGGATTTTAATTCCTATTTTAAAGCCACAAGGGTTGTATTTCTGTTCATTGGACCCTGAGCCATACTGTAGATGCCACACATTGTCACAGTTCTTCAAACAAAAGTTGAATGTCATTCATGTCTGGTGAGTTGGGCATCTATGACCACACAGGGACAGGAACTGCTCCAAGAATTTGATCAATGTAGTATTGTTCAGTCAGCTTGCCATCAATCACTACAAAGACTTGGCTACATACCTGGCAAGTCAGCCTGATGAGTAACTCCAATGTACTGGTGAGACAAAGGCATAGTTCTCTTTTTAAGAAGGAAATATTGTTTTTTTACCCTTTTTCCTACGTGATTTTCATCAGGCTTGACATTCATCAGATTAAATCACATCAATAATACCTGTGCCTGCACAACTCACTAACTTAATGCACTAACTTATGTCACTAGAAAGTATAAAGGTCAGTCAACAATAATGAATCAAAATGACACCAAAATCATACCAAAATATTACCAAAAATATAGGTATTTTTTTCTGATGCTCAGTTGATATAATGTACTGTAGTATACTGTATATGTGTATATACATTATATTAATTGAAAAGCAAATGGATACTTGTTTATGCTCTGATTTGTAGGAGAACTGTTTCATATAAATTTCTCCAGTATGAAATAATTCATAGTGGAAGAAATTCAAAGAAACTTCCACACTTGAATATGACACATATTTTCCTGAGAATCCTGATGTTTATTCAACTATAGCTTCCTTTATATTCAAGTATTATTTGTACAGTGGAAACAGTGAAAAATAATTCTGTAAACATGAAATGATCAGTCTAAAAGTAGATAATACCTGCATATAACTCTTTAGGAAAAAAATATCAAAAGAACAGATCAAACCAGTTCTGAGCGGCAGAGAAATGTCTGACAGAACAAAATACATATACTGTGGTGCTACTTAATCTATCTAAAATGCAGTACATTTCACTTCAAGGTTAGTACTTTCTATTTTCTAAGGAATTATCCACAGGCATTTTTTTAAATAACAAATACTCTAGCTTCCATTTTCTTACACACACATGTAATGTAATTACTGAAGCATGTTGCTGGTGACAAGACAAGATTATATTTAAACTTTAATTAAGTGTATAACCTTGATAAAAAAATATATATATACTGTATTTAAACTTGAATCAACATACAAACAGTGCAATGATCTGTATTGATGTTCAGTGGGTTTAGGAATGCTATGATGTATTGTATTAATTTAAGGTATGGCATTGTTCATTATTTAAACACTATCACCTTTCCTGTTTTCTTGCACCTTCCCTGCACTGAAGAAAAAAGGTTAAACTATTGTTATTGTTTCTCATTTTATGAAATGCTGAATAAATGGCCTTTAATTCCCTAAACTATTACTAAAATCATCCACAATAATAAGTTGTTTTATAAATATATTCTCACATGGAACAATGTTATATACTGCATACTAAACTGTTCACACAAAAGATGTACACTTAGTTTCCAGCATTAACAATGTATACTATATATAGGTCATTATTGAATATCCAAGGATTTATAACCTGGCTTGGCATACATATCTCTCAAAAACAGCAGAATATACAGATAATAACAAGCAAAATTGAGATGAATTCAAATCAGAATTACACTTACAATTAATTGCTAAAACTGATAATTTAAATCAGTGTATTATAACCAAAAGACAGTAAACTGGTGATACTTGAGCCTTCAGGGTACCACTAGACATTATGATAAATTGAGCATCTTCAGAGTGTTGCATATTGCTTGAAACTGTCCTGTGGTCTCATGTTTTTTTAGTGTGTAGCACTATCACAGTGGTTAAGTACAAGCACAGAATGCTGCAGAAGCAGTATTTACAGTACATCATACAAAACTACTTCAATAAATAATAGTGTATCTGAACAACAGGCAGTAATATTTTGTTGATATAGTATAGCATTTTTTGTCTATAGCAGCTAATCTTGCCAGAAGAAACAAGACGAAAATGTCTTAAGGTTAACCAAAGGAAAAAGTAATACATAATAATTTTAATCACTTTTGTTCTAGGTTGCAATGAGTGTCATAGGGAAAATATTACCTGGTCACTCAATTATTTGTCACAGCAAACCAGAGCATAAGAATACTAATTATTCTGTTGACATTTCTCCGGAGTAATGGAATTACAGAACTCAAGACAAACACACT